GCACACACGGATCAAGTGTCAGGGTGTGTTGTTGGGAATGGGGAAGACAATGTGTCAATAGGACACATTGATAGAGTCATTCTTATGAAAACTCTGCAACAAACCATGATTACTCCTATTTTTATAGATGATGAAACTGAGAAATATAGAACTTTCTAAAGTCTTATGACCACCTATTGGTAGGTACAGGGCCAGATGCAGTTTAGAATTCAGAGTCAAGTTTTCTTTGTCTTCAGATTTGCCTTTCAAAGACAAGCCAAACCTGAACTCATTACTTTCCAGCTTTTACCCACAAACACAGACAAAATAATAGAATTATGTTACTAGCACCCACCTATATTGTTGTTCATTTTCACTTGGGGTTCTCAAAGTATACTTCATTTGCCTCTTCATAACTGCCCTTGAGCTTACGTGTGTTAAGAACTTGATTGACAATTACTGTGAACTCTCTGGATATAAGAGAACAAAGCAAGTAAAGGGAACAGAAAGAGGATCTTGGCTTTGGACCATAATAACTACATCCTGGAGCACAAGGGAGGAAATTTCCAAGTTTCTTTCTCATCTTTGATGATGCTGTCTTTTGAGTTCGGGATTCTTGGGTTCACTCTGGGAAAGGTTTCACCAGGGCTTCCCTTTCAGAGGAACACACGAGATTCTTCATGAGACAGAGACTCAGTTATATTTAAAGAGGAAGTTTATTGGAAAGAGACAGAAGAGGAAAAGACACTTGCATAAGTGCAAGTGGGCAGATAGAACTGCCCCGAAAGGGACAGGCTTGCAGAGGGACCGGCTTGCAGAAGGCTTAAGGAGAGAGCAGCCTCCCCTGGGGAGGCCAATGCAGAGGAGTCCCAGCATGGTCACGGGCAGGCAAGGAGGCTGCTGCCCGCAGAGGGAGAGAGTGGATGGCAAGAAGCACCTGCATAGTCACAGGTGGGCAGTGGAACAGCTGCCCTGTGCTGGTGCAGAGACTGCCCTGATATAGGCAGTTTCTCCTTGTGAGCTTAGGTAGAACTTGAGAGGACTGGAGATTTCCTGATGAGCTTTGTCTTCATGTCCATATCTTTTACCTTTCGGGTCTGAACTTCAGGCACAGCCCCCAAACAGTCTGTTATCTGCTGGGACCTCTTGGAGGCATCCAGACATCCCGGACATCCTGGACATCAGGCTTTGGTGCCTGAGGACCTTGATGTTATGGCCGTGTCAGTTGCTGTACTAGCCCCTTCTACCTGTCCCCTGCATTATCTGTCCCCTTTGTGTGACTCAGTGTTGTGACGCCTCCCCTGCATGCCTTCCTCCATCATTAGATATGATCTTATAGATATATTTGAACAGAAAATAAGAAATCATACATTTGATGGTTCTAGAAGTCAATTTTTGTTGAGAAACAGTGATGTGTATCCTTATAAGCTCAATTCATATTCTTAAAGTGGGTGTCTTCCCCAAATGTAAACCATCTCTTGGCAAATACAAACTTTTGTTTAATGAGTACGCATCGAAGTTACGGGTTTACTGGTAATAAAATGAACAGATAGATCCCGCTTTTGTGTGTATAAGTCTCTACAAATTCTAGGACGGAGTCTCTTCTCTCCACAGGAAGCAACCTGCTCCTCTTCTAAAGACAGTATTGTCTTCCCCATTCCAACAACATGCTTTGTTTGCAGGTTGCCACATTTTTGTTTCACACCAGGAGCAGAAAACAGTTTTCTTGAGAAAGGGTAAATGGTGCCACCTCGTGGGTAAGCGTACAAATACAGACGCTGTACAGAATTGAGGTTTCCTGTACTCATCGTGACAGTGACAGATATTTTCTGAGCCAGGCTCTGTGGGTACCAGTAACAATTCAGATGTTCGGCAGTTAAGGAAGGAAATCTCATTTCTAACAGAAAACTAATAAAACCTAGGGAATAATAAAATGCAGGAAATGAACACTTAACTAGTTCTCTCTTGCTGCAGAATATAAATATGTATCATTTTTAAGTCAATAACTTTAACAGTTAAAAAATAAAAACAACATAGAAGTATATAAAACCTTTTCTTTTAAAAAAGATTTTTTATTTATTAATGCATACAGAACTGGGGTACAGGCCAGGGTACAGGGGTTGTGAGAGGATTCACCAGAGACAGAGTGGGGAGCAGAACAGACAGAACCCGCCGCTGAGGGGAGCGGCGGGTAGGTCAGGAGAGGTCTGCAGGTCAGGAGAGTTCTGCCACCCCATGTGGTTCACCTCCAGAGTAGGGGAATCCAACTTGCACTGAAGCAGCTGTGGCTAGTTTTGCAGTGCTGAGTTCTAACCCAATGCACCACCAGGGAGGACCAGAAGTGTATAAAACTTTCTATAGTAAGTCTCTTTCATGGTGATGCCCAGGAATACCACCACTTAAAAAACAAGACCAAAAACCAAAATTTCGTACTATTGCCTGCATGGACCACTTCCTTTGTTATTTTTTTAAATAGCTGCCTACTATTGCATTGAGTAGATAAACAACTTGTATAACTAGTTCATGACTTGTCATTTTGATGGTTCCAGACCCACTGTTCTAGACAATGGATGCTGTATGGAGGTCACCAAGTCCCTCTCAGATTCTGCCAGAGTTGCTGATTCACCAGAGATAAACAGAACTTGGAAGAGCTGTATACAAAGCTATGGCTTATTACAGCAACGGGTGCAGATTAATATCCACAGAAGAATAAGATACAGGGGAGAAGACTAGATGAAAGCAAGGTAAGTTCCCAGGTATTCCTCTAGTAGGTCACAATGGGCTTCAGGCCTTGCTTTGGGCCAGTCCCTTTTGGGTGGACTTCTGCCCAAGAGGGGATGGGTAACTTTGAATGTTTGATTTAGAAACTATATTCTTTGTCTTTCTGTATTGCACACTAATTGTATTAAAGTTCCTTTCCATTAAAGGTCATATGTTTTGTCTTGATGTGGCAGATGGCAGAACCTATTAGAGCAGGCAGGTTTGGGGGCTTAGGGGTGCCCATCTCTCCTTGCCCTGTAAAGGCTCCATTGATGTGTGCATCTATGGATGCATAGTAGTTTGGAATAAGGAAGTGCAATGCCTTCAGCTTTATTTTTCACTAGTCAGGACTTTTTGTATGTGTAGCTCCATACAAATTTTAGAATTTATTTTTCTATTTCTCTGAAAAATGTCATTGGAGTTTTTATAGGGATTACATTGAAACTATTGATGATTTTGAGTAGTGTGGACATTTTAATAATATTGTCACTGTGGGGTACACAGCCAGAACCAAGCTGTGCATAATTATTATCTATGCACAAGTGGGCAAGACTTTTCTGGTTAGAATCCAGTTTTATTCTTTGCATGCATCTATCCAGTTTTCCCAGCACTGACATAAGCTATGCAACATCTATCGTCCGACAGATTCCGGGTAGATCGGGAAAAGCTCTGAAAAATCAGACTTTTCACTGCTAACTTATGTTATGACCTCCCTTTTTTGTGTAATTATAATATCAAAATATTCTGAGCAACCTTCAGCTTACAGTTGGATTGCCTCAGCCTCAGGAGGTGCTACCTGGCCCTGACAAGCAAGTACTGCACCAGGGTGAGAAATTCCTCTTGAAGTCAAAAGTCATTAAACAACTGGCTGAGTAATAAAAACAAATGGCTGTTATTGCAAAGTCTCTCTTACTGCCAGTCTGAGGAAAGCCCAAATCTTATCACTCTCTCTCACCTAGCCTTCTATTCGGTTTCTAAATAACCACTCAAGCTTTCTACTATATAGTCTTTAAATAAGGAAATTCACCTATTTCTCCTATTCTGAGCAATTTATGCTTTCTACTGTCTAGACTTCAAGGAAACTCACTTAAAACCTTTTAGCAAGTTTCTTCACAGAACTTTTCCGAAATTTGATTTGCAAGAAATTTCCTCTTCCTGCCTCCCAGGATGTCTCAGGTAGAAAAACAAACCCACTAAGTAGTAGATAAGGTTTAAGGGACTTTATTTTAGTTAATCTTCACTATAGTAATATTAGTCTTAAACTTTGTGCACCTATGTACCTGTTTTTAACCTTGATTGATTTTAGAATGTTATAATCTCAAGCAAAGGTCAAAACGACCCCAAGACTATTCTTAGCAAAAAGGTGATTGTGATCTCAGCCCCTTTCGTATGCTAATGTCATCCCTCTGCTTGCTTGAAAGGTATAAAATAAACCTCTGCTGAAGGCAGAGCAGGAAGACTTGCATCCAACCCTGACTCCTGTGTCTTCCTTGCACCCACTCCTCTCCCCCCTCTTGGAATCTCCGCACTCCAACGCACTTCCCATCTTAGGGTCCTGCCTGTGTTGCCTCCAGACACCCCGATAGTTGGAGCTGGTCCCCAACACAGCACCATTTGAAGGACTATTTTTTCTCCAGTGTATGGTCATGGGGCCTTTGTTGAAGATCGTTTGAACACATATGTGAGGGTTTATCTTGGTTTCTCCATTCTTTTTCATGAGTCTAGGTGAAGTCTGAGTGCTCCTACCTGACTGCTACTTCTTGACCAACTATGGAAATTGGTCCCTAAAGGAAATTTCCTAAGCTACCCCATCATACCATCACAGAATCATCCCCACTTTCTACTGTTTCCAATCCAGAGAGCAGGGCTTGCATCTTCAGACTTTGTTCACAATCACCAAATAGAAACCAAAAATCCTTTAATAGGATCGTCCCCAAATCCTCTGAGATGTCTGGAAATTTTTCACTGTTCGTGTTTAAGTAATAAACCCAGCTTATTTAAGTACAGGTGTGCTCCAGATGTTCGTGTCTGGTAGGGTGAAGGACACAGATGTACAAAAACATGAGATTAAATCTTCAAGTGGTATGAAACAGTATATATCAACAAAAGAATTCTCATACCAAAAACAAAACAAACAAAAAACAACAAAAACTAGACAGGAAGGAAAAGCAGTCACAAGAAATGCAAACGACGTTATAAGCAACAGAAAAACAGCATCAAACCGATAAAATGATACTGCTGACTCGGTAGTGTCATCGTCTAAACATGAATCCAGCAGTCTTTGCTGCTTCTTTCCGGAAAGTCTGAACACGAAAAGGCTGAGAAACTCTGTATTTGGGTAATTTTATCTTCTACCAACAAATTCGAGTAGGCCACGTAGGGGGTAGGATGGGGAGGGGTTGTGGGATCGGGGAGAAAGGACGTCCTCTGAATGGGGTTTAGATTCAGGAGCAGTACGTCAATTTTTCCCTAATTCCCATTAGTGCATGAATTTGGTCCTCCCAAGGAGCGGTGGCGCTCTCAGGCCGGCTGGATCCCAGAGTAAGGACGTTCTAGCCGTCCGCGACTCGATGGCATGGCCCGGCGCCTGGCTGCTGGGTACCGCCATGTTGGAGGCTCAGGATGCCCACCATGGCGGCGGGCGCGGGAGTCTGGGCGCCAGCGAGACCAGTTCGGCCGGGCAGATGTTGGAAGTGCGGCGGGGGCTGTACCTGGGCGGGGCGGCGGCCATCGCCGAGCCAGACCGCCTGCTGCAGGCGGGCATCACTGCCGTGCTGACGGTGGACTCCGAGCCGCCAGACTTGGGGGCGGGGGCTGGTATGCAGGGCCTTCGGAGGCTCTTCGTGCCGGCGCTGGACAGACCCGAAACCGACCTGCTCAGCCACCTGGACCGGTGCGTGGCCTTCCTTGGCCAGGCTCGTGCCGAGGGTCGCGCGGCGTTGGTGCACTGGTAAGTGGACGCCCCCGCCCCGCCGCTCTCTCCTCCGAGGCCTCAGGGGCGGATGGACAGCGGGATCCACGCCCACTCGCTCCCTCGAGGCAGGCATGAGTCGGCGAGAGCCGGGGGCGGAACCCCCCGGCTTTTGTGCGTTTCCACTCATTCACGTTTTGGTTGTTTCATTTTGCTGCCACCGGAGTTGTGTTTTGGGGAGAGAGGTGCGGTGGCGGTGAGCATCATCCGATAAATGATAATGACCTGGCATCGAGAGTTTAAGCCTTTAGAAGAAGCCAGACTCACACCCAGATGTTTGCAGCGCACCATAGATGCGAGGTGTCTACTGAGATGAACAAAGGTTAGGTTTGTTCAACCTTAGAGGAAGAGCATATTATTTTCACTGTTTTTGTTCGGTACAGGGCATGATTGATATTGGGAAGAGCTTAATTGTTTAGTTTTTGAAAGATTCTTAAATTGCCCAGGGAAAAGATGATGGGGGCAAGTTGTAGCAATGGAAATCCAGTGGGTATTTGGGGGTTCCTAAATAGTCCTGTTTGGGTGCACTGGAGTGTAATACAGTGGGAGTATAAACAGCAGGGGCTGAATTACATTGGTCTACTTACAGGTGGATTTTTTTTCTATCCTATGTACCCCTTTCCTGGATGCAACCTACCCTTATGTCTTGTCCATTGGTTGAATTCTTAAATGCTGGAATCTGATGTACTGGAGGGGAGGGGTATAAGTTATGAGCTGATTTTGACTGCGAGGAGGGGAAGTCAGCTCCCCTTGGCAACACCTTCCCCCACCTATTGTTTAGAGGTCAATTGTAGTTGGGGGTGCCTGCATGGGAAGTCATGCCAATGAGCTTCCTACTTCAGCTCAGAGCTGATCTTGCCCACAGCCTTGGTGGTGCCAGTAGAAGTGGGGATGATGTCTTGGTGACCCTGTCACTACCATACCACACCAGTGTTCTAGGTGGCAGTAATGTAATGGATTGTGATTTTGATTACCTCCGTGATGCCAGAGTTGGCCAGTACCACACAGTAGGTTGTAAAGGAGGTATTGTAGACAATCTCAAAGGAGTTGTCTCACAGTTCACACCTGTCTTAAAAATGGGGGCACCTGGTCCTCCCTGGTGGCGCAGTGGGTTAAAGCACAGCACTGAGAATCTAAAACCACTTCTGCATGAGTTTGATTCCCACCTGCCCTGGAGGTGACCACATGGTGTGGCAGACCTCTCCTGACCCGCCCGCTGCTCCCCTCAGCAGTGTACTTCGTGGATCTGCCTGTTCTGTTCCTCACTCTGTCTCTGGTGAAGCCTCTCACCACCCCTGAGCCTCTGGCCTGTACCCCAGTTCTGTATGCACAAATAAATAAATCTTAAAAAAAAAATGGGGGCACCAGCAGATGGTGCAGAGATGATGACCTTTTGGGCCCCACTTTTCCCGTGAGCCCAGCCCTCTCTGAGGTAGTGAAGGCACTAGTGGCCTCCACAATGTATTCAGCAACAGCATTACCCTGCATGATATTGGTGAGATATTGTGCTGGGCAGATGAGAGATGAGCTTTATTTCTCACCCTTGTCTGTGTCTTTGAACTTGCCACGGGTGGAATCATACTGAAACATATAGACCATGTAGTTGAGGTCAGTGAGATGGGTCACTGAAGGCAAGAATACCCACTTTGCCAGGGTTAAAAGTAGCCCTAGTGACCAGGTGCTGAATAAGACCAAATGCCTTCACTCTGACCTTCCCTATGGTGTCTCATGGATGCAGACTGGCACTGCATGAAAGAGGCAGCTGTCTAATGAATAGGGAGTATCAGAGAACCTAGTGCAATTGTTTTGAATAGATAATACATTCACATGGTTTGGAATTTAAGGAAGAGAAAATAAAGGAATAATGTTGTTGTACACTGGCAGTACTTCAAAGGCAGAGGGTTTGAATAGAAGCAGCAAACAAGAAGTGGGTCAGACTTTACCATTAATTGGGGATTGGGTTTTTTGTTTCTTTGTTTTAATTGTTGCTATTTGCCATTTTATTTTAAAGGCCTCTTTTTCAGTCATGCAGGACTCAGTCGAAGTGTGGCTGTAATGACTGCTTTTATAATGAAGACTGAAGGACTGACCTTTGAAAAAGCCTATGACAACCTTAAGATTATCAAACCAAAGGCTAAGTGCGTATCTTTGCTATAGTAATATTTCTACTTTTATGATGTGATTTTATTTACTTAAAGAAAACTTTACATTTGCTGTTACAGGATGAATGAGGGGTTTGAGTGGCAACTGAAATTATACGAGGCAATGGGATATGAAGTCGATACCTCTAGTGCAATTTATAAACAATATCGTTTACAAAAGGTTACAGAGAAGTATCCAGGTATGTAATTGCCCGTTTGTTAGAGTTCTTTCTAGATGCTGAACACTTACACTGATGCTAAACGCTTCAGTGGCCTTTCCTCACTTTCCTACTAATCCCTTGAGACAGATTCTCTTATTTCCTTCTGAGAAAGGGTTAGCAAGAAATAACTTGTTCAAAGCCATCTGGTTTGTAAGTGGTAGACTGGGATTTGGATTCAAGCTATCTGTACCCAGAACCCCAAGTTTTCAACATAGACTCCTCTACCTCATCCTGATTATTCAGTGCTAGAGTTGGTTCATTTTTAATTTTTTTGAGAACATTTGTTCCTCTGTTTACATTCACTGATTTGTGCTTGAAAATGAGGAGGATTGATTGTGACAAATGGGTGCATTTTCATTGTGTCATATAGAATTGCAGAACTTACCTCAAGAACTCTTTGCCGTTGACCCAACCACCATTTCACAGGGACTAAAGGATGAGATTCTCTACAAATGTAGAAAGTGCAGGTAAAGTTCTATGTCTCCTCTGGGTACTGTATCTTGTGTGAATAGTGAAAACTTCACTGTCTTAATTCTTTGTAGGGAGAGCTTTGTTTAATTGAATAATACAGAAAATTTAAATTTAAATCTGCTTTCAAGAAGAGTTTAAAATCACTTTTTTATTTTCTTGCTAAGAAATACTGCACATCTCATCTACTTAGAAGTCTTTAATGTTTTTATTTGTTTGGGGGTTTCAGGCGCTCTTTATTTCGAAGTTCTAGCATTTTGGATCATAATGAAGGAAGTGGTCCTATAGCCTTTGCTCACAAGAGAGTGACGTCACCTTTCATGCTTACCTCAGGGAGCCAGGCTCAGTGCACATCCTATTTCATTGAACCTGTTCAGTGGATGGAATCTGCTTTGTTGGGTGTGATGGATGGACAGGTGAGGAAACATTTTATTCTACAGATTCATTAGATCATCTGCTTCTGAGGACCAACATCTTTGTATAGCTATCAGTCATTTATAGTTGCTTTTTCTGTAAACATTTTTCACATCCTTGGCCCATTTTCTTTTTTTCATTGTTAGTAAATACTGATTTATGTTGTGCATTTGAAAATAAAAAAGCTTACCTCATACTATGTTCAAATTAAAAATAACAGATAATGCTGTGAATTAGCAGTAATGATTTAGAAGAAAATGTAGTAGATTTACTAGGCTTTTAAAAATTTGTTTTATTGCTGTCTTTGTTTTTGAATAGCAAGGTATTTGAGGCCTCACATATGTATGGCATCAGTATTGGCTAGTAATGGGACATGAAAATCTTAACGTGCTTTCCCATCCTTTAGCTATGATGATTTCAGCTTGTTTGAAATCTTGAATGTAGAGTGGAATCCTTTCACTTCAGCTCTTGAGCTTCACTTTTTCCTTTCCTGCTGTAATTATGCTGTTCCTCTAAATTCCAGGGATACAACATGTTTCTTATTCAACTATCCATCTAGTATAATAGTTGGCATTACATTTTATGTTTATCTTTTTATTGTGGTAACATTGGTTTATCTTTTTATTGTGGTAAACACAGGTTCATGCCTCGTCAGTGTGTCGTGACACCATCCATATCAACAGAGCACCCAGAATCCCCCACTATAGGCCACTGTGCACACCTGTCCCCTTTGTCCCCAATCCCATACTTTCCCTTTGATAGCCCCCATTCTCAGTCCAGATTTCTAGGGTTTGCTATGGTTTGGTTTTGTCTGAACCTTTGTTTTGTTTCTTGACATTCCATTTATGAGTAAAGTTACCGGTCATTTGTCTCTTTCCTAACTTACTTCCCTTAGCATGGTCCCTGCCAGTTCATTCTTTGTTGTCACCAATGGCAGAATCTCTTCTTTTTTTTTATAGCTGAGAAATAGTCCATTGTGAATAAATAAAATACTCTCTAATATTCTCATCTGTAATTGGGCACAAGTTATGTTTCATAATTTATCATACAATTCAGCTATTGTAATAGAGCTGAGATGGCACGGTATTATATCTCATGGTTTAGATCAGAGATTCCTTGATGGTGGGAGCCATGTCTTACCCGCTTTTATATCCTATGTTGCCAAAGATAATTATTTGTTTTGTGTAATAGTGAATGACTAAAGTAATCTATTTCCTCCATTTCAGCTTCTTTGTCCCAAATGCAATGCTAAGTTGGGTTCTTTCAACTGGTATGGTGAACAGTGTTCCTGCGGAAGATGGGTAACGCCTGCTTTTCAAATACATAAGAACAGAGTGGATGAACTGAAAATGCTGCCAGTTTTGGGATCACAAGCAAGAAAAATATGAACTTGTGACAAATGGTAGCTTGGAAAGAAACTTGCTGAGGACATTGCCACCCTTGCTGCTGCTGTTCAAGGCAGACCAGTGTTGAGGCCATCAGCATCTCATTTGAAATGTGAGAGAGTAAAACACTTGATGTGACTTGGAAACTGTTTTGTTAGCTTCATAAACTGTTCAAATAAAATATATGGAAATCAAAACTCGTTAATCATGTAAATTATACTTTGACATTAAAATGTTATATCACCAGATTCTATGTGTGTTTTTAAAGTTATAATTTTTAAAATATTCTGTGAACTTAAAAGTATGGCTGGACAAGATAATGTACAAAAATTGAAAACTAATATATTTCTAAAAATCTAAAGCATATTTCCTTGGACATATTTTGAAATTTAGTTCTCTTTTTTATTTTATTTTATTTTTAAAAAAGATTTATTTATGCATAAAGAACTGGGGTACAGGCCAGAGGTGCAGGAGTGATGAAAGGGTTCACCAGAGGCAGAGCAGGTAGCAGAACAGGCAGATCGAAGAAGTACACTGCTGAGGGGAGAGGTCTGCTGCACTATGTGGGTCACCTCCCTGGCCAGGAATCAAACTTGTACTGAAGTGGCTGCTGACAGCTTCATGTGCTGCACTTTAACCCATAGCAACACCCCAGAAGGCCCTTTTTTGAAGGCATATTGGTAAATCTTTGAATTTTCCTTGGAAATGTAGAGGAAAGGCCATTAGTAAAACCCTTATTAAAATGCTATTTTCACAGGAATCCCAGTTATTTACGCATTTAGAAAAACATGTTTAGGACACCTTTTGAAGTAATCTACTTTAAGAAATGTATTGTTAGTCTGTTTCTAAGAATGAAGAAATTAATGTGGAATCGTTATATATTACAACTTTTTTTTAAAAGATTTTATTTATGCATACAGAAATGGGGTACAGATAGAGGTGCAGGGGTGGCTAGAGGGTTAAACAGAAACAGTGGGGAGCAGAGCAGGCAGATCAAAGAAGTACACTGCTGAGGGCAGCAGTGGGTGAGCAGGAGAGGTCTGCAGGAGAGGTCTGTGCCATGTGGATCACCTCTGGGGTGGGAATCAAACTTGCACTGAAGCTGCCACTGCTTGGCTTAGCTTAGCAGTGCAGCGTTCCAACCCACTTAACCACCAGGGAGGGCCTGTATTGCTACCTTTTTAGCCCCATGTGTCATATTATCAAGAAAGGTAGTATGCTCAGTTAGCTTTTTAACGTGGTCTCTGAAAATTGGAATTTACTTAACTCATGACAAAAGGTGTGGGATCTAATTAGTTTTTTTAATATTTCTATGAAATCATATTAACTAGTAAAGTAAACTATAGTCCGTGTTCTTAAAATGTATGCTTATTGGCACATGTGTCTGTATGGATATAAACACTAAAATGGAAGAAATTTTAAATGCAAAAAAGTGAATGCTGATACTCTTAAAAATACTTAGCTTTACCCAAATGCCCAAAAATAGATGACTGGACTAAAAATATGTGGTACATATACACAATGGACTATTACTCAGCAACCAAAAAAAAACCAAAAAAACACTTACCTTTTGCAGCAACATGGATGGAGCTGGGAGGGATCATGCTTAATGAAAATAAGCCAGAAAGGAAAGGAAAAATACGGGATGGTTTCACTCATAGCAGGAGTATAAAGGATCGGGGGTGGGGGTAATAATAATAATAATGAACAACTATATACCAGAGACATTTTATGGGGGTGGAGTGGGGAATGGGATCAAAAACGGTGGGGGGAGGGAAATGCACTGGACTATGGTGATAGCACACGGGTGATTTGGTGATGGGAACCCCAAAGGGATTACAACAGAGATGGAAAAAGACACAAAATGATGTAAAAATAAACTATTATATTATTTTTTAAAAAGTTAAAAAAAGAAAATGCATTTTGAGTACATTATACTTCAATCATTTGTCAAGAAAACAAAATACTTAGCTTTTTGATTTTTTGCAATGTCTGGGAATGTTATAGATGATTCTAAAAATTGCAACCCTCTGAAGCCTTAGGCAACTTTCATAGCATTTCTTCTTATGACTAAAAAAAAAAAAACCAGTTTGGTTGAGTCATTAAATTGTTCCCCTTGTAGGTAAGTAGTTGAGTAGCAGCAGTTTAAGTATTCAAGTTAAAACCTATCCATCATACCAGCAACCAGCATAGAAAATTACAGATTCTATTTGAATTTATAATCCTCAAGAATGTACTGAACCCCTATTATGTGCACAATACTAGACGATGTAGTGAACAATTACGTAAAATCAAGGCGCCAAATTATTAAAATATTTTAGACTTTTATCTTGATAGCTTCATAAGGACCTGGAGGATCAGGTTTAGCTTAGAATTCTCTGACTTCATGGGGTTTCAAGTAGAACATGGTAGTGCAGGGAGAGTTGGCCCCTGACAGAAAGAGACCACCCTCCTCTTCCATTTACAGGGGAGGAGCCTGGTACCTATGTACTTGAGACTCCGCCTCCCCCTCCTCATTTCTAAGTTCTGCATACACCCCTGATAGCTTCCTTTGGAACACATCACCCTGAGGAAGTCAGAGGCCTGAGTGAACTTTAGGAGCAGGCTTAGAGGTACCCAGGCTAGTAGGCTGTCTGAAGCCTAGATGGAAAGGAACATGTAGTCTGGTTGGGCATATTACCTTGGCACCCTGTGAGAAGAGATGCTGCCAGGTGCCAGCATAGAGTTCTCTGAAGTGTGAGGACTAATTTATGTCTCTAGACAAATGCAAAGCAAATTAAAAATGATTCATCAACATTTATGATTTTTTATTTTTATTTTTTTATGATTTTTTAAAAAGAAAAGCATAGAAGGTAGCTTGCATACAACAGTAAATTTCCTGATGAATATTGAAAATATATAAAATAGAACTTGGTATTTAATGGCAAAACTTTCCCATTGGAGTTGTGAACAAGTTCAAAGATGCCCATTCTTGCCTCTACCTTCAGTATTGCACTAAAAGCCCTGGCCATTGCAATAAACAAAAGGGAGACAGATAGCAAAAACCATCCAACCAAGCTTATATATTTAACTGACTATCTATGAGGCTAGATACTCTTGAATATTTAACAGAATCATAAAGTGGAAAGTCCTGCAGGACAAATGACAGTTTCTTGTCTTTTGTGTTTATTTGAAATTCTCTATATCAGGTTAATTTACAAAAAATGGTAAACTAGTTTTTTAAATGTTAGTGTTTTCATACAGCATATAATTAATAGGAAATCCTAGCGCATGTTCAAAGTATTAGAATCACGCAATTCAAAAAGGACTTTTGAAAGAGGTCCTGTTAATCTAAAGGATCAAAGATGACATGATATAAACATTCAGGAATTCATGAAAAAGACAAGGCTTTTATTTATT